TTCAGGTGACAGTTGAAATAAATAAAAAATTTACGACACAACAAGACTGCAATAATCAGCACCATGAGAAATATTGTTTTAAAAGATAAACAGAAATTGCATAACATAAACTTTCCAAATTATACAAAAATAAATCTGTTTAATCTGAAGGAGACAGGATAACACTACGTAACGCTTATGAATTATTCTCAGTCGATTACCGAGATTTAAAATTTAAAAGCGCTGAATCCGTGATAGTCTTGTAAACGGTAACCATTATTTAATTTCTTCAAAAGAACGATAAGTTGGTCAAAGATTTACTGATAAATGTTTTTTTATTTTTAAACGCGATTTACTATGAACAAGTTGACTACATTAATAACAGTTAACGGAAGACTCATTATTATCGAGTGTTCTAGTTTACTATAGCTTTATTATGTTTTAGAAGAAACTCCTTCGATAACGATCTCACTTATATTAGAACGTCAGTCCCTTATGCGAATGAAATATTTTCCCGCTTAAAACGCGTCTTTCTCTGCGTGAAGAACAATTTTTGTCGGCAATTAAATATACCAATATCTCCAAGTAAAAGCAATGACGACGATTATATCGTACTGGCATGAAAATATAAGCTGAAGTCAGTGAAATTAATTAGCTTTTATCCATGGTTTCTCAGCGCAGGCATTGATAAGTAATCTGTCTGTGATGATAAGTTTTCCCCATTATCGCGTGGTAAATATCTGAGTGTAGAAAATTTATTTACATGGAAATCTTATATCTGGACTGCGCCATCTATATTTCATTTACAATTACCCAATAAACGTCCCCTTTGCTATTAATATTCAATTCGACCTGGATGAAATAATAAATCGTTTATTAATGTAACTCTAGTACCACAATGTTATCCACTACAATTCGTCTTTTGTTAGTTTATTAAAGAAGATTTTTTTCCTAATTATATTTTCCAATAGTACAAGTGTAGTATATCCCTCTCCGGCCTTAGTATTTTCAAGAAAGACTATTATAGCGTCTGTTTAGTTAAATTTTTTGCGTCCTTTTACTGCCCGACACTGTGATAATAATTGTTTTTATCAACCGAACCAACAGAAAGTTGACATTAAACTATTTCTAACGTAAATTGACGAATTACGTTATATTACGTATACATAAACCAATATATTATTTCAATCACGCATAAGGTTCGTGTCTGTGCTTTATTTACATTAGATCCGGTAACGCATGCACATGAAAAATTAAAATGCGTCGCGATACTCAGTCGTGCGGCTGTTGTGCGTGAGCGCAGTTATTACGCGACACACGAGTAATTACAGGAGTTCAGTCTTCCAAACTGATCATTATTGATAACAAATCATAGATAAAAAATAATGAGATCTGAAATAATCGATTTGTTCAGTCGAGTTGAATACACGATCGAGTTGTAATTCCTTATAGAAATCGAAATTAACTTTGAACTAATCTAACTCCCATGTCAAAATCCAAAACGCTGTAGACATAATATGCGTGTCATAGCTCCTGGTGCGACTGTTAATCCTTCCTAAATCCGTAAACCTTGCTGTTTGTCTGCGTTTAAATTATTTGTGTGTTCTAGTACATAATCGACTAAAGGTCTTGTTTCTTAAATGATGTTTTTGTTTTATAATGTGAGCTTAATTTAGAAAAAAAAAACGTTTAAACGAAATTGTATTTTCTTAAAAAGGACTACTTCGGTGGGGAATTTCTCGGTATTAATGTCATAATGAAATCACTAAGTGGAAAGTGGACAAAAAATTTCTTTATTAGGTACAAATTTTTTGTGTATAAGCGATGTCAGGTATTCATAAAAATGAAAGAGCTATTTGGTCCACTGAAGCGTTTCGTCTCGAATTACAACACAACGGATTTCGATTTCAGTTAATTTCAATTTATTAAAAGTTTTTGTCTTAAAAAATGTGTAGTTCATGCACCTTGTCTATTGCGTTCATTCGCGTTTTGTAAAGATATCTAAGACTACCTTTATATTAGAATATTTTTACTAATTAATGGCATTAAGACTAGGGCTTGTATACATTATGTAAATAGATCTGTTGTCTGCGTGGAATAAAACAAAGGGTTTTCGACGTTAGTTCTTATAGGTTTTGCGTTATCCCTTACATACTGCATCAAAAAATATATTAAATTAGTGCTCATACAATTGTTTTATATTTAAATAAATATACACGTTATATGTTCAAATATATTGTCCTAACACTTACAGCCTCCATGGTCTAAACTCTAAACTGTCGGGATTGTTGTACTCATGAGGACAAATTGTAAAACGCGGCCTAGAAATATATGAACTTGTTACCGTGGTTACCATTTTGTTTAAAATATCTTAACAATGGTAACAAATAGATATTTTGTACTAAAATGGCGATGTTGTCATGGAAACGTACGCTTTTGACTAAAACAATTGTTTTTAATTGGTTTACATAAGACTATATTGTAAACAGTATATAATAATATATGTTTTTAATAAAAGGTCTGCAATACTCCTAAGATTGTGAAGTATGTTAGATTAATAAGTTATTTAGGTAATGTGATAAGATATTGAGAGATATATCTTATGACCGAAATATTATATAATTTTGCGTTATTATTCACAATCTCTTATAACCCCATAAATTTTAAGTTTGAAAGTTGTTTCTATTATTTAAATGAAATCCGTTTTTCTATAATCTCATAACATACAATGCCAAATACTATGAAATCGTGGAATATTAATGACGGCCGAGATTCAGCTTTACGTAAACATTTATTCGTGATATTAAAACTATACTTATATTATTATTACTAGAAATTTTGCGTATTTATAGCTATAGCAGATTTTAGTATGAAACATTTTAGGAACACTGCAATTGAATATATGCCTAGTTCGAGTTGCCTGGAAGATAAGGCGGAAGGCGGTCCGTTACAATTGTTTTTATTAACGAGTTTTATTAGTTTCTAGTGTGCGAAGCAGTATAAATAAATAAAAAAGAATATATGGAATATTGATATTCGATCTATGCTCACGTTTCCCTTTATATCGATTTCAAACACTAAACTATACAAAATGAGACATACGTACATATCACATCTGGTATGTAATTGTGTTATATTATTCAAAATATTTTAAAAATTGTGCGCGAAGAAATCTTTATACGAACGCGCTCCCTTTATACTTCTAGCAACATTCACACCTTCAAATACAAATAAGTAGGTATGTATTATTTAAACAACTAAACGAATTTAAAGCATAAAGTTAAATTGTATGAAAAATAAACATCCTATGGATAACAACTTTCGAAAGAAACATTGGACGGAACTGAGCCAACGTGTATACCTATTATAAAATCAGCTTTCGTTCCTTCCTTCTAGTATCAGGTTTGCCTTAAATGTTTTATTTCATAATTTTGTCATAGGAAATAATAGTTCCGTTTGATATCAATGATATCCTGCACTCAAAATTGTTTGTATATATTTATTAACTTTAGACCGTGGTGCGAACTTTTATCTGTCTGATTAAGTAGTATTTTTAAAGATTTCTGTTGTTTAGGAAAAAAAATCCGGATTTCTTAGTTATACGCTTTATAGTTTACCTAAGATAGGTTTCTTTGACCTGAAGTGAATAAATTGGAAATAGCTTATAACGTTTAAGCGTGAAAGAATATCAGTTACAGTCTACGTGCAAATGTATAAAAAATACAAATAAAAAATGTTTCAGTACTTGATATTTTTATACACGATTGATTTCTATGATGCTCTTATCACCATACACATTAAGGATGTATTTCATGGTAGTTGCTATAGTAACGAAAGGTTACCGACCTATTTAATCTATGGATGTATATATTTGTTACACCTGGTGGGACACCGTAAGTTACGTTTCCTTTAATTCACTAGAATAAGTACAATGACTCACCATCAGATGAAATATTGTTTGTCAGTACCTACTACATATTATATGAGTAAATATAATCTTGAGTCAATGTTATTAGAGTTAAGCAATAGTTGATAAAGATAAATCTTCAGCAAAATATAATTTAAACGATCAAATCAATACATGAAAAAAAATAATAATTGCGACAGCTGTCATTCCTCGAAAAGCAGGTACATTTAATGTTTCAACACCTGCTCACATTAAGAAGAATTATATAAATACAAAACACACTGCTTTACTTTCAAGAGGTATTGTAATAAAGTTTCAATGCTATTATTTCTTACAATATGAGAGGTAACTACTCGCACTTGCCAGGGACGGGACGCGAGGGTTGGGCCTTATTACTTCCGAGGGTCCGCGCCGGATGCCACCGTCACGCGTCGCCGCTTGCGCATGACGAGTTTGCCTCACCTGAACACTAACCGACCAATTCGTATAACCATTACCCACCTAACAAACGGCAGAATTAAAAGGCACGCCTAAATTCACCGTTTAAAACAATGAGTCAGAGTTGCATAACAACAGTGAAAATAATACGGCCTGAACTCAACTCAATTTCTCGTCATCATTGACCGATTTAAATGGGTGCGTATAGGCATCCAGCCTTGGTGCGTGGTTCCAGCCTGCTGGGTCCAGACATATGAGATATTTGTAACCTAATATGGTGACTGGATACATCAGATCTGATGCACGTGTAATCAATATATTGTAGTAAAATGTATGTCATTCCACGCGCTTTCCATTTCAAACGGTCTGATTCTCTACTATGACAATATATAATAAATAATAATCATAGCTACCTCGTAAGCAATATTACAATATTTTCAATCAAAATTTTCTAGGAGCTCTACACATCACAATAGCTACCTTATTATTTGGATTGAGGGCACTCAGTAGATTAAATCAAGTAGTTGGAAAGGTCTTTGTACTATATTGTTTTTTGGTAGTAACTTGTACGCCATATAAGACACGGTCTGCGGAAATGGCTTGCTCACGTCGATGTTTTTATAATGTATAACCGTGACGACCTTTGTTTTAAGTGTTGTTCTATTCGTAATACACCATGCAGTCGGAAATAGACATACTTTCAAATTCATATTCTTGGTTTGATTCTAAAGAATCTGCTGATAACGGGTCGGTAAGGTTATGGCATTGTTCGCATACAGGTCAATCAGCAAGTGGTTGTAGCAAAACCGTGGGATTGCCATGACATTGCCAATTACAATCGATCCATACTTTTTGTCACTTGTTCACAAAGCATGTACCACTATGTTTTAAAATTCCGTTACTTGGTTTTTTGTAACCTTTTTACTATCTGATGCGACTCACCTCAGCTGATGTTGTATTGTTAAGTTGAAAAGATATAGGCTATAGGGCTTATCATTGAAGTATGGATACACTACAATTAGAGATCGTATGCTTTGTGCCAAATTCAAATTTTCGTCATAATGCAATTCAGGTCAATTTTTACTATTCTTTTTCACATCATTTAATTCTCTTTCATATCTTTATAGTACCATTATCTTGAAAACGTTCCCAGCATTATTATGTGCTAAAATGTAAATAAATATGCAGTAATTTAAGTGAAACTTTCGCACTATGCATGATTTCTCGGATTCCAAGTTCAATTGTAGTTTAATGATCGGTGATAGTAAAATGACACAGATTTGCGACGTATGCTGTTTTTTTGTTGCAGGTTCCAGAAAGAATTGAGCAATGTTCTCAACTTTCGGCGAGTATTATGGAGCAAAATGGAGAAGTAGTTAAACCACCCGATAAAACTACTAAGAACAACGACATTCATAACACAGAACTTAATGCCTTAAATATGGAGGTGGATACTTTGCGGTGGCAGCTAGCTCAGGTATTTCAACATTTAAGGTTTTTATTAATTTGAAGTGTTTATTTTTGCATACTTGCTATTTTCTATGTATATTGCGAATGTATGGCATTGCGAATTGCGAAATATAATAATTACGCAACTTTTAAGATATATGTTTTTATTGCATAAATGTTTTATCGTACTTTATTGCAGACTGAAACAAACCGGCAGATGCATATAGCTTTACTTAAACAAATAGTTACATTCCTGAACAGAGTGAAAGAACATATAGAGTGCCAGAAAACTGATCTCGAGCCGGAGGAATTTTCAAAAATCGTACAAAAGTCAAATTTAGACTTGCCACGTTCAAAATCTGTTTTTCACGTAGATAAAAATGTAGAGTACTCCATAAGTCCCACCAAAAAAATTAGTACAAAGAAAATCAGTAAGTCCATAAATAATGTAAATGGCTTTAATGATTACAATATTTTTTGGTAAGTATTGCTTTGTTTAAATTAAATTTAACAGTTGTCATTGTATCGTTTTAAGGTTACTGTACTAAAGAGAATAACTCTTGTATAAAAACCCAGTTTTTTATTTAAGTTGATGAGTCGTCCTTGAAACATTTAAATATAACACCGGTTTTATATTGATAGTCGTTTACTGTTTTGCGTGTTTTGCTTATAATTTTTTGTAAGAGTCTACGAAATTACAATATAAGAAGAACCGTTATTTTAAAAAGTTTCGCTTGAAGTTCCGTAACCTACCTATAGGTGATTAACCTTGTCCGCCTTCCAACCTAAAACTCTTGCTTCCTCGGGACTCGAACTCAGGACGTCCGGATAAATTCATGGAATCAAGATTTTTACAACTCAGCTACAGTTATAGGAACCTTCTTTAGGAGGGAAGACGGTTGCGTATTCAGATGAATTCATTAGTGGTTTTTTTTACATCAAATAGATGAGTTGAACAATGATGATGAAGATAATCTAATATATAAAATTCTCGTGTCGCGGTGTTTGTAGTTAAACTCCTCCGAAACGGCTTGACCGATTCTCATGAAATATTGTGTGCTTATTGGGTATGTCTGAGAATCGGACAACATCTATTTTTCATTCCCCTAAATGTTAAGGGTAGTCCACCTCGAAATTATTTTTTTTAATTTTTAGATAAATTACTTATTTTTTTTTTTATGTCACAGCATTAAAAAATACATACAACCCCTAATTTTCACCCCTCTACGATCAACCCCTATTTTTTATTACAAATGATATACATGGCAAAATGACGATTGCTGGATCAGCTAGTAAACATATAAAGTTATTAATAATTAAATATGATTTTTTGTTTTACTATTCCATTGAAGAAAATTTAAATGTTGTTATTTCAGGGGACACCCAAAATTACCTTTGGTTTCGGAAGATGAAATTGCGAAGAAGCTTTCTGAAGAAATGTCACGCTTAATCACTCTTGCCAACACAGTCCTAAGCACTAAGTTACCTGATCTTACTTGCACGGTTTCACTAAATGGAAATGAGCAATACCTTAAACTTATCGAAGAAATGAAGATTGTTGAAACAGTACCAGACGAATCATTCACATCGCAAAATTGTATTGTTGAGAAAAGAAATGAATCAGATACTTCAAGCCTTAAATATAACAGCCTCTCTTTCACCGATTTCAGTAAAGACACAATATTGGATGTCATTCAGGCACACATTCCAAACAACACCACGCAAGCCCCGTTTAACCACATTTTAAGAAACGACTCTTTAAGGCATAATGAAAATAAACTATCTCAAAGCCCATTTATTTCACCCGAAGAGAAATCGTGTAATATTGATAAAAAGACGGATTTTAATCCTGTTCTAAACTTTATTGAAGACGAAAGTGGATTTTCATCTATGAATTCATTTCAAGAGATTGGAATACCTATTATAAGCATAATTCCACCGTCACCAAACAAAGACATCGCTTATATGGACGAGTTTCCTGATGTTAACGAAACTGAAAAGTGGAAGACTGACTCTATCGAATTTGATAAGCAAAGCGTCAAGGTGTTTTGGGTTTAATTTATACATTAGCACCTTTGTGTTAGAACTGTAAGGTTGAAATTAATATATTAGGAGCGTAATACTTTAATTTACGATATAAGAAAGGAAATGTACGCAATAAAATTTGGCATTTATAATTTTACTTATTTATAATTACTATTAATATACTGCCGTTTATTAGAATATTAATATAGATGCTGATTGTGTTTTTATGGAAAAATAAATGCCTTTACTTGCAATTTGTGTTTAAAATACAGTGTTTTAAAATTTAACTTAACCTTCAAATACATGTCGAAAGTCGAAATAACCTCGTTGTGAACCTTGATATTTCTGTGTTAATTTGCAACCTAATTTCCCTAGAAACTATGGCTAACGTAGAGTACCATAAAATATGATATTTAAATTTTTCACCTGGCAGGTGTTTTAGTACCCACATATTGGATGCTTGAAAGTTTGCTTGATGCTTGAAATCCTTAGGATCTTTGTTCTTGCCATGACCTTCATTTGGTTTGAATAATAAGTTTTAATATTCTTTTTGGTTTGGAGTACTACACATTCTCTGCTTCTCTACTTTTGCTTTTGGAACGGATACACGTACCTACTCGACGTGTTTTACAGCAATCTTGGCAGCGATAGAGATAGATGTATACATCAGATAGGTACATCAGACTGGCTGGCAGGCTCAGTAATTTTTCGACTTCGTTTCTTTGGCAATAGATGGCGTTTATATTTCAGTAGATCTAATAATAATATCAAAGAATATTCTGCCGACTTAAACTGGCAATAGCTCGCGGAAATCTTGCTGAAAAGTACCTACTAGAAACGTCATGTTGTAAAAATTATGTAATAAATTCGTGTTCATATTCGTAAATGATGTTTTATTTAGATATTAAATTTATACGATCATGTCTTGGCCGATACTTCGAACCCTTTCTAAGTTTTAATGATTGATTCGATTTTTATATTATTAATATTGAAGAATGTTAAATAGTGAATGTTTATGGCAATGCATACATGATTACGGGCAATTTGTCATATCCCTTGGTAATAAGACGCGAAAGTATTTATCAACAAATGGGATCACCCTCTTAACGTTTATCAAAGCAGAAAATTATTAAGTAAAATCGTATGCAGTTTTTAAATAGAGTTACAAATTCAGAACTAACTTAAAACTTAGTTATAATGTATTGTGTATTTATTATAAAATATCGGTAAATCATTAAATGAAGAGGTCTGTGACATACTACCATTGTTTTATGATTTTTATGTTACGTAACCTTTTTGTCCTTTTTATTTAAGTTCTTAATGTAACATTAGTAGAAGCCGATGTAACGAGTATTAATAATATAAAATACTTACACAAAAGAAACGAGAAGATGTATTCTAAAATTTCGTTCATTCATACACATGCAACGTTGCTCCGATATGTAAAAAATGTAATCAAAAAGTTTTCATATATTGCGTATGTAACCTTTAAGAAATTAAAACCATTTTTTAGAAAATGACGTTAGAAAACAAAAATATTTCAAGTGAATTTTATAAACAGTTTTAAATGTAAAAAAATATTTTTTTAAAATAAATTTTCAAAAATATCTAAATTCTTGTGAAAATGGCAGACGTTGAAGATGAAAAGGCAAGTGGTGATGGTTCTGACGAGAAACCAGAAGAAATACCGGAACCTGAACCACCCAAGGTTCCTGACGTGGAGCTTGTTGTCGATGGTTTTGGTTTCATGCCCAAGGACTACCCTCGAAGGGCACACAGCAGGTCATCTAACGTATTTACGAAATCACCAAAAATTTTAAAAGAAATTAAAGGAGCAGAAGCCGAACAAAGCCCTTGTGCATCTAGTACTAATATTGATATTGTGAGAAGGTATACTTGGAAAACAAGAAATAGAATGACTGTACAGGTAAGTCATGTTTTTTCAACGTGTTATCGCTAAATGCGAACATTATATATTTACTTTTAAATTTGTTGTAATATAAAGAAAAGATATAAGACTATATATTCTTCTACCAAAAATCTGCTCCAGAGGAAACGTAATAATGCTTATTACGAGATCAATACTGGATTACAACAAAAAGTTATACCATAGTTAAGTATGCTACCCTAACCGCGATGTCGGCAGAGCCCGGGAAATAACATCTGAACCAATGAAACATAATGTCCCATTGGCGGACGGGACTTCATAAATTTAATAGTTTCCTGATATTATTCGTCCTATGATCATATTAAAAACGGTACACTTATTTATAGCTGTATTACGTTTCCTCAATTGTTGCATCGTTTATTAAATAAATCTTTATGTAGATCATCACATATGGAGCAACAATTACGTCAATTCAAGCACCTGATCGTAAAGGGGTACCGGATGATGTAGTAGCAGGATTTGATACTTTAGAAGGTAAGGTGTACATATTATGTAGTACATCAAAAATGACAAAATGGTTACGTTTCGTACAGCCTATAATCGAGCGACAATAGAGATAATCGAAACCATTAACAAAATCTGTAAATTTAAAAGAAATCTAGTGCTAAACGCCTTAAAGTATTACACGCTGTGTAATACTTGTTACTTATTCTGAGCACAACTTGGATGTTACAAATTTAAAAAAGGAATTTGATTCAGTCTGTGAGCGAAATTTTCCCAGATATTGTAAGAAATTGGACTTGGAAAATGTCAATGTTATTAAGGTTATTTAATAATGGCTTTACTCTTCTGGTCACGTCATTCAGATTGAATGTTTGAATGAAAAAACATAACTATATATATATATAAACAACTCCATAGGACCATCACTTATGAGACCACAAGCCCATGAACAAAAAATACCTGTGAAATGACCCAACGTGAATTACGCTTAGAAGGCTGTTACTATATCTGAAAATAGCTCTGAGCACTATGCCGTCATTTCTGAGCGGTACATGTGAGTACGTGAGTGAATGGACTTTCTCATGTACAATGGGGGAATTTCGGTTAATTATTAATGTACGGCTTTGTTATAAGTGTATAGATGATTAAAAATAAATGTCGAAAAACCTAGTGCCGTACAAAAGTGATGGTGCCGGAAGTCGGTGCAAATTTTTAATTCGACGACAGTTGCAGGAGCAATATAGGTCATTTATTACTGTACGGCATTTGTGTCATTCCTTTTGGACACATATACAGATACTTTACCCGTAAACGCCGTACATATTCCCAGCGGAGCGGTCGAAAGCCAAGGGTCGCAACATATGTCTGATTAGCATATAGGTGATGATGATATGAATCAACATAAAATTAATTGATCTTGAGAGTACTTCACAAATAGATAACATTTTCCAGCATGCCGTACATTTTTTGTGGAACACATAGGTGTATGGGGCAAATTACTTTTCTCAGAAAAGAGTCATTTTCCGGTGACTTTTATCTGTACGGCAATAACACAGGTTATTAATACTTTAGACAATCTTCAATAAAAGATAAATGCCGTACACTTTCGATAGTCCGCTACCACCGCCTACCAATACAGGGCGTCCCAAAGTTATGGGAAATGAAGGGAAAGTACCTTAAATATCGTAGATAGGGTATTTTACTAAAAGAAGACTTTATGTTATTTTTAAAAGTTATTAATTCTGCATTCAAAGATTTTTTAAAAATTACTTGCCTCGTCTGGGAATCGAACTGACTTAAATGTAAAAAAAACACCCCTACTTTTATGATGCCAATCGAAAGAATGGCCAAAAACTAATAACTCTTCTTAAGTAACATAGTATTTTAAAAGAAAGGAACAGCGTGAATATACCTTTTTAATCAAATTAAAAACATTATCTATCGTATTCGGCCTAAAAAAAATCCCCCTACGAGTCTGTTACTTTAGAAAAGTTATTAGGTTTTGGCCATTCTTACGATTGGCATCATAAAAGTAGGGGTGTTTTTTCTTTAATTTAAGCCGGTTTGATTTCCAGACGAGGCAAGTAGTTTTAAAAAAATCTTTGAATGCAGAATTACTAACTTTTATAAATAACATAAAGTCTTCTTTTAGTAAAATACCATATCTGCGATATTTAAGGTACTTTCCCTTCATGTCTCATAACTTTGGGACGCCCTGTATTATATATATTTTTGTTAAAAATATTTTTCCTTTACCTCTCTCTGCTGGTACGATAAGGCTGTAAATATACTTTACAGCCTTATGGTAGTATACTCAGATATGTACAGTTATTAATGACCTTAAGGGACACCTCAAACGTCGTCGAAGTTTTTATCAGCTGTAAAGAATAATCTGGAGTAAAATGTACGGCATCTGGTTTTTTTTGTTTATTTATATTTGTTACATATAAAATAACAATAATCTTTGAAAATATTACTCCCCATATTACTATAGGAGCATTTGAAAAGTCATCTAAATTTCGGAAATTTCATATATTTTTTATCATAATATTTTTATTTGTTACCATTTATAATGAACGGCTATAATGTACAACGGTAATATTTAGTAACATTATGTAAAAAAACAAGTTGCCGTACATTATTCTCTGATCTTACAGCAGTAAGAACTTGGTTAATCCTGAAATTTCGATAAATATTTAATTACACAAATATTAACTATAATATTTGGACGGCATAATTATAAAACATTATTGTCCGTGTTAAATAATATTTTGAACATGTTGCCGTACATTTTACAATGACCTTAGGGTATATGGGTGTAGGGGTAGGGTTCCGACCCTTGGCTTTCGACCGCTCCGCTGGAAATATGTACGGCGTTTACGGGTAAAGTATCTGTATATGTGTCCAAAAGGAATGACACAAATGCCGTACAGTAATAAATGACCTATATTGCTCCTGCAACTGTCGTCGAATTAAAAATTTGCACCGACTTCCGGCACCATCACTTTTGTACGGCACTAGGTTTTTCGACATTTATTTTTAATCATCTATACACTTATAACAAAGCCGTACATTAATAATTAGTCGAAATTCCCCCATTGTACATGAGAAAGTCCATTCACTCACGTACTCACATGTACCGCTCAGAAATGACGGCATAGTGCTCAGAGCTATTTTCAGATATAGTAACAGCCTTCTAAGCGTAATTCAGGTTGGGTCATTTCACAGGTATTTTTTGTTCATGGGCTTGTGGTCTATATGAGATATAGACTACTATTACTAAGTGCTTATTGGGTATCTAGATATTGCATCATTTATAAGTAATGTAAAGTTCTTTTGGAGAAATAATCATTCTTCCGCGCATCATTTAACATGTTCTGCCTCTAGGCATTGGCCTTTATAAAAAATACATTTTGTTTTTTATACAGAATATTTTCAATCAAGAAATCCATACTTCGGCGCAACAATAGGACGATATGCAAACTATATACGCGATGGCACAATGGTGGTAAGGCCTTCGGGGAGAATGTATATGTTATCTACGAATCGAGGACATAACCACTATCATGGGGGCTATATGGGATTTGATAAGGTAAGATTTATATTAATACATTTCTCAGAAAACATTTTATTTAAATTGGTGTCCGGAAGTTTTTTTTTTATATAAATACATTTATATAACTATATGTTTTTAGAAGTAGAAGCAATTTATTATATTGACCTTAAAAAAATGTTTGCGGAGTTTAGTGACACTTCGACCCCAATCCGGTTGAAACACAAGATTTTTGCGGCTGATTGACTGAGTTATTATTATTTTTATTATTCTGCCCTCTAACTAAAAACAATTAGCCGCACCCAATACTTCCTCTAATAGTAATATGTTTGAGAAATTACAACAAAAATTATATAAAAATATTATAAAACGAATGACGCCATAAGGTTGTGTATCTCACGTGGGAACTTCCTCTTCCCCACCTGTCATCCGCACTTTTACATCTTGTACGTTCAATTTCGCTTAAGAATAAATAACATATTATGGCATAATATAATGCTAACAATAATTAATTTAATATATAGGCGATTACTAAATTCACAATAAACCAAAGAAATTCCTTGTACACAAAATACACCCAAAGTTGATTAGGTACCTATTTAAAATGACTTGACTGTACTAATTTTTAGTTAAAGAATATTTTTCATATATGACTCAGCTTTAGTTAGCCAACCAATATATACAATATAAATCACATTAAGAAAAGTATATAACATTTTCAATTTGCATACAGTTTGCGGTTCTTGTGAACATATAGTCATTTTCTTCTGCTGATTGATCATGTTTTTCTAATATACATTTGACACTTACGAACTTAAGTATAGCAACCAAATCAGTTTGCTGTTTTTATGTTTGATAATATCACCATATATAGAAAATAAAGCTTTAAACCTGCGTTTAAAACTTTTAGTGTTGGTGCGTTGCCATACCTACTTCACTTAACAAGACTTTTGATACTTTGGCAAATAAAAAAATACAAGTTTTAATGTGTCAAGCACAACAATCCAGAAGAGAAAAAATCATAAAAAATTTAAAAAAAATTATAAAAACTGAAGGAAAATTGATTTCAATGATTGTTAATAACTATGTAGGTATGTATTTGAGGTAGGATCATATTACTGTAACTTTGTATACATTTTCAGGTTAACTGGCGGTCCTACGTTATTGGAAATAAGGTTATCATGAGTCATGTGTCTGATAGATTCCAAGAAGGGTATCCTGGTACTTTGATGGCTCAAATTGCATTTGAAGTTACCTGCGATAACACGCTTAAGATTGAAATGAAGTGCACAACAAGTGAACCGACGATAGTGAATCTTAGTATGTCACCATACTTTAACTTAGGTGGTCATGTAAGTATAGATATACCTATGGTTTATATAGTAAATAAGTATACACTATACATATATGTTTAGTAGCACTGCCATTTGTCAGAGACAAACGTCTGCGTAATGTATAAAAACGTCTTACATTTTTTGTTATATGCATTCGGTTTACTATAAGCGATTAGAATCTGAGATAAAGCTCTACTAAAAAGATTGAACGTTCTTTAATTATCGAACTTTAATAGCGATTTTATTACTTTGTGTAAAGGTTTAATTTACAAGGTACAATAATTTAATACTGAATTCTATTTCCTTCTATTTTTTAAATTTGGCAGTATGAATTTAACAATAATGTGGAATAGAAAATTTAAAAAATCTTAATTCTATGATTTCAGCACGCAGGCAATGAATCAATGTACGATCACATTTTCACAATAAATGCGGATAAATATACAGCAGTGGACGACGACGGGCTCGTAACAGGTACAATTTCCACTTTTATCTTAAGAGTATCTATTTTCCGTGCACATAGGGTTTATTACTACTTCCAGGGTTTATATTACTTCTGCATTATATTACTGCTTCCAGGTGAAAAGAAAATTGTTGGAGCTACAGCATTTGACTTCCGCATACCACGAGTATTAAGAACGATGTTGCCGAAGATACCTCAAGGCGGCTATGACCTCAACTACTGTATAACACAAGGAACTGAACAAGATCTAACCTTCCAAGCTCGGTGAGTATTAAAATAGTATCAGGTGCTTTGGTTTAACATGACGTCGACTCATCCCAGAGCACTGTGTATTTGAACCCCAGTAGTGTATAATTTTTCTAAAAGTGTATTTAAAAGTTTACTAAAAGCAGTTCTATGTTAACAACGAAATTTGATTTAAAAAATCTCATTAGTAATTTTTTATCCCTCGTAAAAATCCCCTAGACACACACCAAACATCATCGGCGTATATAAGGAAGAAGCCTGGTGTCCTGAATATATAAAAAAAATGATTAAAGAAACTCAAGCAGCAGTGTCCTAACCTAGTCTATAAATTTTCAGAATACTCCATCCCGTATCAGGCCGTGTACTAGAGGTATACAGTAACCAGCCAGGCATGCAGTTTTACACCGGCAATCTGCTTCCAGATCCTGATAAAATTGTTGAGGTTAGTTATTATTATTTTTTAGTCACCTATCTTTTGTTCCAGTCGCATTTTGTCAATTATCCAATTTTTGTTGTCCATTGACAATAAAAATAGGTCATTAGCTTACCACTCTTGGTATTATTTTAATAGATCTAGAATTAAGAAGCTTTTCATACACCCTAGTTAATCTAGTCTATAAATGCAAATGCATTTTTATTAATTTAACTACCTAACGTTTATTTACCAAACCACAAGATTCACTTAAGAGCGCCCATCCCCGTCCGACGAACGTCAACGCGAGCATGACCAAAAAGCTTGTTGTTTCATCCAGCGCAATGTCAGCAAGTGAGAACGCGATAACATTGAAAGAAAAATAGTGTGCGGAAATTTCATATAACTTGTTCCAAGAAATACGTGTGTTTTAGTAAGCCTTACAAGATTATGAAAAAAAAAGTTTTACATTTAGAAACTCCATTACATTTGCAAGGTTTCTATGCAAATATTTCTTTCCGGTTACAATTAATGAGTACATTATAAACGCCCAAACTTCATTTAAAAATTTGTGCAAAAGGCTGTTTTTTTGAGGTTTGTACTGAATTTGTTTCTTAAAATTTTGATTTCGCGTTTTAATAAAAACCTAGATATAGTGCACAAGGTGCCTATTAGTTCAAAAGTTTCAAAGAAATATCTGTTACAACGCCATTATCACGTACGAGCGTTTGTATGAAAATATAGACGGGTTGGCCGCTCTTAAAGAAATGCACTAGCAGAAGCTAAAGCAGTTTTTAAATTAAATTATGGATAGTTTTTACGAACGAATGAAATTAAAAATAACTTTACGGGCAGCACAGTTGTTAGGTGTTTCCAAAATCAAATCCTAGCACACCCGTCATGTTCCAAAGTTTGCGACAGCTTTTGCTTTGATCGTAAACTGAAGACTTCATCGCACTTCATTGTAAATACTTTGTGTAACAGAACGGTGAAGAGGCCGGAGAAGTCAGCAAGGAAGCAAGTGAGGGTGATAGTGATTCGAGCAGTAGAACAAGTGCGAATGGAGAAGAAGCGAATGAGGAGGAGAGTGAGGTGAATATATCCGTAGTATTATTAAGGTTTATAAACTATAAAGGATTGTGTACAGAAAATGTAGGGTACATTAGTATAGCATAAAATCCGAATCGGGATTATAAACCACATGTGCTACACAAAAATTTCAAGAGTTACAAGATACATTATAAAAAAAATTACACAATCTATGTAAAACTAGTTAATCATACAAATTTAAAAGAATTAACAACAATGTACGAAACATAGAGATAGTCTTAGAGAACTTTCGCTAAAACTGACGGTATACAGATATTTATAATACTTGTATATAATATAATTTCTACTATTCAAGCAGTCGCAACATGTAAGCTTCAACACTGAGGTCGTCTATTCGAACATAGTTTATGCGTGATTGGATTTCCTATGTTCGCAATAAATAATCGCCTGTATGGTGAAGGAAAATTGCATACCTAAGAAGTACTTGCCTATAAAACTAAATTTTTTAAGAAAATAGACAAAGAAATATTTTAGAAATATTTCTTTATTTTTACATCATCTAGGTACATGTGAATCTAAAATGAAATATTTTTATATATGCATAAATCGTATTTTATGCTATGATAAAAATTCTAACGAATTCTGTGAATAATTGGCAATACAAGTTTTTAAATCTTTCATACATATTATGTTCATAATTACACCATTATATATTTTTTCATATTTCAGGGTAAAAAGAGCTACGGATATGTGCCATTAAAGGGCAAGCAGGGAACATATTATAAGAAGCATGGACTATTCTGCGTGATGCCACAAAACTATCCCGATGCAGTTAACAATGTAAGTTAATAAACCTAAATTAATTCATATAATTATGGTTTGTCAGATATTATATAGTTTGTATTATTTATAATTTGTTCAGAGTTAATTGGATTCAAATTCATTTAGCAGTGTTAACCTTTTTATATTAAAGAAATCAGTTTAATGGCATTCTATATCAAATATATTATGTGCCATTTAAACGGTGCAACTGATTTGTTTTTGTTATATATATGCAATCTTGCGTTTAAGCTTGTGGATCTCATTTCGAATTTTAGTACGCAATTGACATAAAATACTCGTACAGAAACGGAAAGCGACATTTCGCAGGCGTTTGACGTATCGGAGTTTATTTTCTGGATAGTTCTGCGAGCGATTGTTTTTAGAAAAGTTGTGTGACATGATTGTATTCACATAAAATGCATTAGGAACATAGGGTCTAGGTGGAGTTTAATTAATTGTCTCTTAAAACTATTAAGACTATGTGCGATTCCGTTTTCTTTACCTTTATCGTATAGATTCTACGAAACTTCAGTGGAATAGAAACTAGTACCTAATGCTTTGTATTAGCTATGTAGGATTGGTATCTATTGAATTAGAATAAAAGTTGACCAGATTATATTCATAGTGCATTTTGTCTGGTTTACTAATTAAATAATAAAAACCAAAAGCGAAACGCATCAAATAAACTACGGAATCGGTCACGAAGACCATTTCGCATTCGGAACGTTTTGTTTTATAAAGTGAAGTATTATTTTCTTTTACAGAGAAATTTCCCGAACTCCGTCTTAAACCCAGGCGAAGTGTACGTCCACCGAATACAATACAAATTTGGTATACTCCTTGGTAAATATGTCTGAATAAAAAGTGAATAATTCAATTGTAAAATGTTTTTGAGAAATATACTGTGATTGTTAATTTATTGAAGTTTTCTCTCCCTGGATACATGCGTTTGTACATACAGGCATTTCTCAGTTTTGCTGGATACCGTTAGTCTGACCTTTTGCAGTATTTGCTCTGTGTCAACGTTTAAGTATGAAGTAATTATTTTAATTTCAGTCTTAACTTCTCGTACCAATGAATGACATCTAATGTAGGAACATAAACTTAACAGGGGAATAATATAAGCAGGTACAGGCCCGTTTTGTAATTATACAAAGCAATGGGGTATTTCAGAAAAACGTTCAAACGGCTAAATGAACAAAATAAACCTGGGCCTCATGATCTGGTGTAGAACATAGCGGCTTGACATGAAGTTGTTGAGGTGATGTAAAAATTGCTAACAAAGGTTAACATTTATGCAATTCATTGTTAAAAGTATACATTTTGGTAAATTAGGCATTTTAGTATGATAATAAAAAAAAATACCTCGAAATCTACTTTCGAGATTAGATTCAGCATTCTTTCACCGTAAGATTGCTTTTTTTTAAATGAGTTGAAAATGCGCTAACGAAGGCCCGCGCCATGGATTACAATGGGGTCTGTGGGGTAGGTCTACACTCCAAGCCCTCTGCTATTCAGAGGTGTAGCGAGACCCTACCTACTAAAAAACTCGACCTAGGACGTATTGATACATACATCCTTAAACTAACAGCCTATTTTCTAAGGTAGCCCTCCGTGTACGGTTTAAGCACTCGCCCGGTACCGACCTCCCCTCTTGAAGGCAGAGAACAAATTTAAATTTATGGAAATAAACCGGGAATCGAATCCGATACCCCTCACCTAGCGGACACTTAAGACTGCTAGGCTATGAGGCCCTTTCACCATTAGATTGTTAAGTTATCCTTCCGTAACATGGGCTATATTTATATCCAAAATTAATATGTAAGTATGGTCCAGCTGTTCGAAGCCGAGACAGGCTACGAGTAATTCATACATTGGATTTTTAATGAACCCATTCGAATAAGTGAAATTCTAAAGCATACAAGACCGCGTGTAACAAAACAAACAATACGATATCGAACTATACGGTAAACGTAAAAAAGTTTCGTCCATTTTTGTATGGAAAACTATAGTTGGGCTCCGTGACTCAAAACTATAGTAGTTATTTGTATAAACAAATATAAAAACTCTCATGACACATACTACGCTATTACCAACAACTATAATATTATCAATTATTGTATATTGATGCTTGACGAAGCTATCGAGAATTTTATGCTACGGGTGCAGCTACTGCACTACTTTTACGATGCGGGGCTACTGTGAAACCCAAGTTTCATTATATGAGAAAATTTTTGTAGCCATAGATTTCGGATTCTGTTTCGTGATTATTTGTTTTTTCTCGTGACTGGCCTCAATCAAGAAGTTCTGTTTCTGCTAATAATTATTTCATAATTATTATGAAGTCTAAAGACAAAAAACGAGTTTGTTCGTTCTCAACATCCGTACTGATGTGGCTTAGAAACTGCAGATTTGTTTAAATCTGCAGTTTTCAAGATTCCATTTGAATTACGGGAGTATGGAAACTATATCTAAGAGCTAAACCCCTAAGTCATAAAATCTAAATAGCCTATTTAACTAAAGTAATAATTAACGGCCTCTTTTCATCTTAGCATCAGTTGACAGAAAGAGATAGAGGACTCGTACTTTAAGTTGTTAAAAGAGAAATTACACGGAATCAGGATTTACGAATAATATTTCCTTTAAATTAAGGTTACGGGGTAAAGGTACGTTTACACGGGCAACTAAAATTGCTCAATTCCAGTCAATACTCGTCAACTTTGACGTCACGACTACATCAAGCAATTTACGGCAGCGGCAACAAGCATCAATACTGCGCAATACAATATTGAGCGATATGGCGCAACTTCAGCAACTAGGCAATACTGTCCTACACGAGCATTTCAGTATTCGCTCGCTATGGACGACATTGTTCTTACTGCGGCGGCTTGTAGCGCTTTTTTTATTATTAATCAAAAACAAAAAAGAAAGAAAAGGAATAGACGTATCTGGGTGCGATCGTTTTTGGCAAAGATGCCGCAATTTTCGTTGTGTAAAAAATTAGATAATATATTATTCAAAAACTTTACTAGAATGTCACGAACAGGCTTTGAATTACTTTTGAATAAAGTAATTAGAAATTATTATTATTTAGACCTCTCGCTCTCCCCGCGAAAGCAATACGGCAAGCCGCAAAACAAACAAGTTCGAATGAGATATATACAAAAATTGCTAGGAATTTCCAAGTCCATTGGATATTCGTCAATTCGTATCTGCGACATTGAGCGATATGAAATATCTGGAGCAATAAGAAGCAATATCGCCGAAATTTTATAAAAATTTATTGATTTATTGTAATTGCTCCATTAATTGCTCCAGATCGGTCCATTCGTGTCGCCGAGCAATTATTGCCCTCGTGTAAGCGCAGCTTAAGCATGCTATTTCTCAAGTGAGGATTGTGATTTTCCCAATGCCTACACTCTTCTGCGCCTACTCAATAGTTATTGCAAATGTGGATTAAATAATAAATTCTACATTACATTCTACATCTAACTTAATACACAAATAGGCACACCTATATTCAGATTACACCACTAGGTTAGGTGGTGGTAGTTTTTTCTTCGTTAAATATTTGAATTGTAATTTTATTACATGTTTTCATGTCTATATTCAGAGAGTTAAAATGCTCCTACAAACTTTTATCCACGTAATTAACAACAAAGTGGCTGGCGTAAAAGATTTGTAGGAAAACGGCTGACTTACGTCTTGAATATCTGATAGATAGCATAGCCTGTGTATAATGTATATGTACTATATATTTAAGATAAACTTAAAGCGGTCACTAATAAGAGTACTTCTAACATTTTTTTAACAGTCGTCGTTATGGTGTGACTGGCAGCCTTGGTCTTTTCCGGCTTGGCACATCTGGGCGTCGAAATGTTTTGGATATAAATATAGCCTATATTGAAAATGGTATTAATATTGAGTTCATTCATTTAAAAATATCACCATTTAAGCATTTGTATCACCGCTCACAACTGCGTGAATGCATTTATGATGTAAATTTCATAATAAAAAAAGCGTCCTTCATAATAATGAATGAAGTTTATTCGATTAGGTGTAAAAATCGCAAACTGTAAATTTAATAATAGATTCTAAAACCTAGGCTCCGTGACTTAATATCCTATAACCCCTAGATGGGGCAGAGGGCCTCCACAGTGACACACACACACAGCGATCGGTCTTAAGCCTCGTATTTCCAAGCTCCAAGTCTTTTAGGTTCTCATCGCCTCATCTACAACTGTACGACGCCAGGGTTGCTTGGGACGGCCACGCTTCTTCATTCCTAGCGGGTTCTAATCACGGACACGAAATGCTAGACTCCTTTTAAACCATGTCACGCAAAAGCTTTGCTAATTTTGGTTCTATCCGTTGTTACTAAAAACGTGTTAGCGTGGTTGATAACATGCAGCACTGAGGTAGTGCGTTCGAACCTCAACCATCGTTATTCAACGGTAAAGAAACCAAAGTGAGCAAGCTATTTTAGGCCCAAAAATAATTTTTCACTTGCCTATTTATTTATTTATAACTTCTAAAACAAAATGTATGATTAAAATATAAGAAACTATGGCTTCACAAATTTTACAGACATACAGATGAATGTTATTAGAATATAAAAATTCCTAAAGAGCGTGATAAAGAAAATTACGGTACGTAGGAAGATTGTTGTAAATAAATCAATATTTTCATTAAAGTTAGTAATTAAGTTGTTAGAGTGAAAGCCTAGGCTAATTAGACTATAATCTATAATGTGTAATCAAAGTAACAGATGCCGTCTAAGACTCTAAAGGGTAGTAGCTTATTGTATGTATACGCTTTAACTGAACAGTGTTCAGTGAACACTACATTTTTTATAAGAGACTAGCAAACCGGCCAAGCTTTGCTGTAGCTAAGGTTTTTGTTATATTACATAGTAGCAAACTATTCAAGGGAAACGTTAGGAGAACACCAGTCATGGGGACCACCATGCTTTTTTGGTAGTTATGCCATTAAACTATGTTGTGTATTAAATTATGTAGCTTATGTGAAACGTTGGTACTTTCAACACAGCGCCATCTGTTAGAATTGTGACTATCAAATAAAAACAAATATTTTGCAATAAAATAATATTGCAGGTATAAATTGAGATGAAAGCTATCCTATATTTTAAGTTGGATCAAACTACACACGGTGTGCAAATTTGATTGATATCGGTTCGGTAGTGTAGGAGTCCATAGCGGACAAACAACGTGACACGTAATTTATATATATTAAGATTATTCTTGCCGCGTCATCTGTGCCTCGTACCATATAAGTTGTGATTTGAAAGGTTACGATACATGTGGCAGTACTGTGAAACAATTCATCAGAAATGTAGAGCGAGGGCGAGTAGGGGAAGGATATGAAGAAGCTTAACAAAGTCCAGACTGTGCTATAGCAGGCAGAGCATTTTCTCTGAAGCTCGATAGAGGGCGCCCATTACTTCGTGCACCAAAAACCCACATATAATCTTAAAAAAATAACATTGAATCTTACTCGTTTTCTGAATGCATTTATGAACAAAGAAATAATAATTTTTGTATTGAAGAATTTACAGGCTATTGCGAAAAAAATAAACTATCAATTCACTATTAAGTGATATTTTTAAGCGGCTTTACAAAAATCCCAGTTTACACAGAACTATGACTTGTACAATAATCCATATATTAAATTAAATCACTCATAATAATAAATTTTACTTACAACAATAGAAAATAAGTAGTTAAATAATATAGAGGATCTCGGGAGGCCTTATACTATCAAGCGATTTCTTTCAAGCAATTCAGAGCGCTTCCAGAAGTTCGTCATCTAAAATATACAGACGTACGTACTATAATAA